CGCTCACCTTGCGGAGCAGCAAGCCATGGGAGATGTTCTCTGAGACCATGAAGCCCGAGACGAGGTGATGGACGGGGCCGGCCTCGCCGCAGTGTGGGCGCAGGACGAAGGTGTGGAAGCCTCGCTTCCTGCAACACGGGGCCCACCATCGGCATCTGACCCCTCCTGAGACCACCCCAGGATGGACGGAGGCGCCGGAGACCCCGAGGTGTCCTTACCGTCGGAGGTGGTTGAGTACCGTCATGTTGGCGTACATGTAGTAGGAGTAGGGGGGGTTGTCCTCCTCCACCCAGTTGCCCGGTAAGGGGCTGTCCAGGTTGAAGATGTGATGCTCTGGTTTGGATTCATCATCCACGCTGTCGAAGCCGTCCACCTGTGGAAGAGACAACCCCGGGGTGGGATGGTCACCCCTCCACCAGGAGATCTGCCCCAGCCTTCAAGCTGGGGGGTTGTGAGTGTCACCGATGTCCCTTGTCCCCCCTCCATCCAGGAGCAGGACGTGGTGCTCACGTGTTCCAGGAAGAGGTGCAGCTCTGGGTGTTGGGCAGGGTGGATGGTGGCCTCGTAGAGGGGCAGGAAGATGTTCTCCAGCATCTCCTGGAAGTTGGCCAACTGCTTCTTCGTCCGGTAGACATCGCTGCAGAAGGACAGACCCCACTCAGAGATGGGTGTCTCATCCCACCCCATCCCACCCCACCCCATCCATCAGCAGGGTATCCCTGGTCTCCCCACCCAGGATGCGTCCCCAGTTGAGGGTATCTGCCCCGCCATTACTCACAAGAGCCGGGGCACCTGCACGAGCCAGCGGACGTTGTTGGAATGGACGCGGTGGTTGACGGCCCAGCGAGCCAGCTTGTCCCACTCGTCCCGGGAGCGGCCGTAGATGGAGAGCCGCAGCTCGGCATTTTGGTACTTGCTCTCCTCCAGGTCAGACATCACCTCCTGCCAGGGAGGGGCAAGCGTCATCCCTCGGCCAGCAGGAACAGGGACCTGGGTGGCATTGCCACCATGGCCATGGGAGGGAGGGAGACGCGGGGCATCAACCCTGAGCGTCCCAGGTCTGCCCACCTTGATGATGTGGGCGAAGTACTTCCCCGAGACGCGGTTGTCCGTCTTGATGAAGATCTCCCGCAGGATGGACTCACCGATGGGGTTGTACTTGGCGTTGAACTTGTCGAAGCGGTGGAAGGTGTTGCGGTCCTGGTGGGAGGACACAGACGTGAGCTGAGACTCCTCGTCACCCCAGAGCCACCACGACATCCCTATCCAGAGCCCCTGGCACTCCCCAGCCCACCCTGGGACAACCCCCAGAGAAGATCCCCCACCACAGCCAGAGCTGGGCTGGGGACCCTGCTCATCTCCAGGATCTGGAGATGTTCCCCGTACCGCATGGACATCCAGCGTGTCCACGCTCAGGTCGTAGGCAGTGAGGTTCATCGTCTCGAAGACCTCCTTGAGTGTCTGCTCCTTGCCCTTCTCCACATGGACAATCTCATCCAGGTGCTTCTTCATGGCTCGCTTGATGAAACGCAGGAGATGCTTCTGGTTCATGCAGGACGAGGCGTGGATGTGGGTGTCCACCTGCACGGCCAGAGGTGATCCTCAGCCCTCAGAGCCTCCAAGTGCTCCCTGGCCAAGCCGGGACCATGCCCCCTGCCACGAGCCGGTGGGTACCTTGCGGATGTTGTAGAAGTCGCGGTGGGGCACCTTCTTCTGGGCCGCCAGCTCCTTCATCTCGTTGAGCAGCACGTGCATCTGGAACTTGGAGCTCAGGTACTGCAGCCGGCGGTAGCAGAAGGATTTGCTGCCCGAGGCGGGGAGGGGGCATCAGTTTGAGGGAGAGGAAGGAGAACATCCAGCCCCGTAAGGCACTGGTGCCCACCAGGATGTCCAGGGCTCTGGACTCTTGGAACCCCCTCCCTGCGCATGGTGACCATGAACAAGGACGGACGGACGGACGTGAGAGCCGCACCATGAGTCAAAGCCACCACCACGTCCTCTGGTGCTGTCCCCAAGGTTCTGTCCCCCCCAAGACACTCCCATGGTGGGAGCCCCCCAGGATATCCCCATGGTGGGACCCTTCTCCTTACATGGGCCCGTTGATGATCAAAGCCATGAGGAAATTCATGTCGGC